TCCTTCTGACTTTTCTTGAAATTCAGATTAGAAAGCATGCTTTAGGAGGATTGAAGTTCCGGGTTGAGCTTTGAAAGGGAATTCTATTTCGTCACAGTTGTTGGCTATTCTGAGCCAACCTTCAGGTAAGGGAAGCTAGAATGTTTGTTATTTAAGTTGCATGTGAGTTTAGAAACTCAATTGATGCATGAAAGTTGAGGATCCATGGCTGGATCGGAGAATTCGCTCATTTTTCGGGGTTTTGGAAAAAATGGGGTTTTTGGGTGGAATTGATGCATCAGATGGGTGCACGTAGATTTGAGTTTGTTTTTGTGTTGTATGGAGCCTAGACATTGTGTTTTTGTGTTTGCATGCGGCTGGATTTGTTGGTTTGGATGAGAGTTTCTGAACTCTCTGACTGGAATTAGGCTAGGCGCAGGTTGAGCGCGCCAGGCGTGGAAGAGCTTAGGGCTCTCGAGTTGGATGTTGGGCCAGGCGTGATTTGGTTGCGTCAGGCATGGATACTCTTAGGAGTCTCTGTTTCAAGGACACCGAGTGTGAGTTGAATGCGCTGGGCATGGATGAGTCTTAGGACTCTCAGGTTGGGATTAGGCTGGGCGAGCTCAGGCTGCGCCGAGCGTGAATATGTTTATAAATAATTGATTCTTATGCATGTTTAAAGTTGAAGATTTGGATCATGTATGTATGATATATGATGTATGGTGAGGTGTGATTCATATGTATGCATAGTGATGAAATATATGAATGTTTGAATATGATATGACATGTATATATGTTCATATGGTATGTTTATTGATCATAATGGTGGTAGACCATGTATGATGTATGATGCATTATTGCATGTGATGTCTTATGACATGTGTATGATTGTTGATCATTATGGTGGGTAGACTATATATGATGTATGATGCATGATTGCATGTGATGCCTTATGGCATGAGTCTAGCCTAGGACTTGAGGAGAGGAAAAATATTTTCGAACTGGAAGAGCTCACATAGAGTCTCTTGAGAGTGGTGCTTGGATAGGCCACTGATATATGAGAGTGGTGCTCTGGGAGGCCACTGGATTTGGGAGAGTGGTGCTCAGATAGGCCACTGGGTTGGGTGAGTCTCCTCTAAGTCCTTAGCTAGTGTTGGAGCGGGGTATGAGGTCGAGGGTTATTCCCTTAACCAAGTACTCGGGAAGGTGCGTGGATCCTTGCGGATAGTCGGTGGGCGAACTCCACAATTGACTTGGTTAATGCATGCCAAGGTCGTGGTAAGCCCGTACCCAGCTGTGCTATACCTGACGGTGGATCTGGACTTCCAAGTGTGTAAGTGACATCATCCGAGTAAACCCGAGTGAGGATTATATATCCTGTTTAGCTGTGACCGAGCGGGCGCATTGGGCGTGAAAACGGTTGGGGTGGTTTCGGTAGGATGGAATGTCACTTATACAGCTCTATTGTTATGGAGATCTCCTAGGTGTATGCGTGACGACGCATTAGATGATTGATATGCATTGATATCTGTCATGAGATGCATTTATTGGATGATTATTAATATGATGAAGTATGGTATTTGACTTCATGATTGGTGCATTGTATTTTATGCATGAGTAGTATTGGATAGAGTGTATGGTGTGACTCTATGAATATGATTGATGGTTGGATGATTGTGTAGTATAGATTACTGTTCTATACTTGTATGATTGATTTGTGAATTCTAGCTTACCCTTCTATTTCCATGTGGTGGAATTGTGATGATCATACTTGGTATGGGAGGAGGTCAGGGCTAGCTTGAAGTTGAGGTGACCACTGCGAGACGGGGAGTTTGATCCTCGTGTTATGGTTACCATTTTAGGTAACGATTTTGTTCGTGCTTGACCGGCACTAGGGAATATTATTTTTTGGATGACTGTACATATATGGCGTTTTATTTTGCATTTAAGAAATTTAGTTATTTTTATTCTTATCTATATTTGTATGTATGAGTTATCCAACTTAATATTTTCTTAGTTCACTAGTAGTAGTGCGATTCCACTAAGTGTAGAGACCATGGCGGGTCGTTACAATGATAACATTAAAATATTATATTAAAATATAATCCTCATATAATTTACTCAAAACAAATATATAAAATACAACTTCAACCTTAAAATGCTCTCTGACATCAACCTTTTAAATTTTATAATAAAATATATTTTAATCTAATTATGAAAATGTAGGGTGTTACAGGCTCAACTTCATAATAATGGTTATGAAGGTTATAAAAATGTTGTGTTTGTCTCACTAGGTTTGATAACTTGTATAGCTGTTTTAGGATGTATGTATTTATTTGTATATTTTGGATTTGTAGCCCCCTAAAGGAGATTTTATTTTACTATTTAATGACTAGGGACTGTTTTACAAATTTTGTTCTAGTTGATCATAAAGATCTTGAGTATATACATATTGTGTACTACATGATGTCCAAGTATTACGTTTCCCAATAAATCTAGGATAAAAGATTTAAATTTTGCTGTGTTGTGTTGCTTGAGATGTTAGACTATGTTTTACGAATGTATGGCCTACTGGGTTGTTACATAACTAAGTTGACTAGGAAGGGTCAAACTTTTGTGTGGGATGTCAAGTATGATAGTGGTGTTTAGAGGCTTAAGAACAGGTTGACATTCCCACTAGTTTTAGAGTTTCCTAGTGTTTTGTAATGCATCTATGATTAGTTTAGGTGGAGAGCTTATGTAGAAATGTCAAGTAGCACATTATGCATCTAGACATCTTAAGGAGCATGAAAGAAACTACCTACCCATGATCTAAAGTTAGTTGTAGTGGTGTTTGCATTTATGTTGTTAAGTCATTACTTGTATAGTTCGAGATTTGAGGTTTTTAGTAATCATAAAAACCTTAGGTACCTTGTTGACAAAAAAAAAAGTTGAACATGAGGCAACAAGATGACTTGGGATCAATTTAATTGCTTGTGTCCATATAACACAAAGTTTGTTAGGTTTAATTAGTAAACTTGAATATGACTTAATCAAGACCCGACAAATACGAAACAAGACCACATCAATCTACTGACAAATACTAAACAAGACCATGTTAGTCTAACTTATTAATACACACATATAATAATAATTTTATCATTGTGTATTTAAACTATAAAATTAATAAAGTATATAACTATCACTGAGGTATATTTTATCATATATATATACTTCAAGATAAATAATATCAAATAAATATAATATATTGTTAGACAAAATATTAAATTTATGACATGGAACCTGATTGGGATGACTAAAAAAAATACCTGACTCCATCTTTAAAGTACATTGTGTCTAATTCGTAAAATCCAAAGCCATAAAAGTTTTCTTTGCATAGAGTCAGGTCTAGGGATGGCAACGGGGCGGGTCGGGTACGGGTTTCATGATACTCGTCTCTGTCCTCGCGAGTTAAACCCATCCCCGTCCCCATACCTGTTGGGTATAGATTTTCATCCCCATCTCCGTCCCCGTCGGGTATCGGGTATACCCGTACCCGTACTCGTCAAATTTTTTATTTTTTATTTTTTGTAAAAAAAATGATATTTTTAAATTACTTTTTATATTATATTATAATTATAATTAGGTTATTTCTTTATCTCATATTATAATAAATAATCACACATAAAAAAATATTAAATTTTTTTAATATAATTAAATTGAAAGTAAGTATTAAATTAAAAATGAGAATGGAGACGAGTACGGGTACGGGGCGGGTAAGTACATACCCATACCCATACCCGTACCCGATTTAATATATCGAGTTTTACCCGTACCCGTACCTGTACCCGGTCAAACCGGATATTTCCTGTCAAAGTCGGGACAGGTTCGGGTATTACCCGCGGATACAGGTATATTTTCCATCCTTAGTCAGGTCAGTGGGACATGTTGGGTCGTGAACACTTCTACATCCCAATACCTTTCAATTGTATAAGAAAAATATAAGACGAAACAAATAAAGTGAAAATGGAAGTCATTTATCATATTCTAGTTCATCTCATTCTATTATAAATTAAACAAACCATGTAATAAAAGTTTGAAAAACATTTACTTTATTCTACATCATTTTATTCTTTATGTGAATTAAGAATTAAGATAATGCATGCTTAAGACACATATAATTTTTTATGTTTTATATTGTTTAAATAGTTATTTTGATCCCTCAAAGTGGAAACATTGTCACATTAGTCTCTAAAATTAAGATCATGTCAAATAAGTTCTTAAACTTGACTAATTAATTATTTTCATTTTGGTTCTTTTATATATATATATATATATCAATATTATCACTTTAGTCACATTTTTCTTTTTAAATTTTAGATTAATATGATTGTTAATTAACACTTTTAAGGACTTATTTGACAATTAATTAGCTTTAGGTGTAATAGCTTGGACACATCACAATGAGACAAATTTGGAGATTTGTGTAGGTGTGAAACTGTGTAGTTGAGGATGACTTAAAATAATTAATTAATGCTACTTATACCAACAAGATGCATCTAGTTTTTATTAGCTCACATCTTAAGAACTTTACAATTAAGCGTGTTTGACTTGGAGTGATTTAGGGATAGGTAACCTAATGAGATGTTTTCAAGAAAGTGTCCGAGTAGTAATGACTATGCTAAAAAAATTTTGTGTTAATTTGTGGGAACAATCATTGATCCTAAAGGTAGTTGGGCATCTCCTCAATTTTTTTAGTAACCTTGCCATTGATACAAAGTATCCATTGACTTTGCTGATGACTAATTTCATTGGAGAACCTAACTGGGTACCTTTAGTGGGAACTCCTCTTCCGATCACGTT